AGTGGACATAGGAGCAGTTATTTGTAGATTTTCTGTAACTTTTAAATTTGAATTCATATTACCCTTAATAATTAAAACATCTAGAAAAGGCAATGAGTTATTTTCCTCAAACTCAACAGTAAAGTTTATTGAATGGGCTAAACTATTTAATTTAACAAGGAAATTGTTTATGTCTACATTCTTAGGCATAGGACACAAAATATCATCAACATATCTGAACCATTTAGCTCTATTAGGGAGGACTGTGTTAAGCAACCTTGTTTCAAAAAATTCCATGTATAGGTTACTAAGAACAGGTGAAAGAGGATTTCCCATTGCCATACCAAACTTCTGAGTGTAAAACTTATCATTAAATACAAATTTTGCATCAACAATGCAAAGTTTAATAAACGCTTAAGCTGTTTGTGACCTGATAAAGCCCACTACATAGGCGAAATGTTGTCAATAAAGGATCACATTATACTGCTTAAGTATTTATATTTCCATTGTGTCAGTATTTTATACCATTTATCTCCATTCAAAGTTTAATAAGTTTAATGATAGTAGGAAGTGGCAATGGTAAATCATAGTTAACAAGTTCTTCAGATAAGAAACTTTATAGATCATCAACTTGAACTTTGGTAAACAAGGAAGCAACATCAAAACTAACCATGTTAAGTGTATCAGTGTTTAATAATTTTTTGAGTGTGAATAATACTTATCAGTTTCACATAAATTATCCAAATGTCTTGTCGACATTTTGAGCCCTATTGTTGGTAAAATTTCTAACTTTAATGTTAAAAACAACATAGATTTGGTTGATAAATTAAGCTCGTAGACTAACTTAAATGATTTTAAATGCAAGTGGCTGCATGTATGGGGTAAAACAAAAATCCTGGCCTAGGGTAGCTTGCATTTTTCTGTACAGAAACTAATACTAACAGCTCGAAATAATTGCACATACAATCAACTTCAAACTCACAAGCAGTATACATGGTTGAAGGATACAGATTAGATCAGATGAAGGACAATTGCAGACAGCAGCACTGACACTAACATTGAGCTGAGCAAAGCAAGGCAGGGAGCCATGATACACAATGTCTCTATAATCCAGTATCACTAAGAATTTCCTGGTAGTCACTTAGTACAGCACACTGATGCTATCATATACACGTTACATACGAAAACAAAGCAGCTAGTTGACATAGGCACATGCAGGAACTGGTTCACAATATCGAGCAGGAAAGGTGGTTGTGGTGAATGTTGTTTTTTTCACTCACAAAAATCACTTCCATCTCCAGAATTCAAAGAATTCTGCCCACCGTTGCCACCATTTTGTTGTGGTTGAAGTTGGGGAGTGTGAGGGACCTAAAGAGAGACGTTGTATACTCTAGGGGTTATTTATTATGTAGTAATATCTTCTAACAAGCCGAGGTCATTCTTCTCCCAGGTCCAGTTTAAACTTACTGGTCACACAGAGAGGTGTGGAGGAATGTGAATATGAAGGAGTCACAGGATGAACACCTACCAACCATCATACTGGTTGTTACCTTTACAGTACATGGCCTATAACTGTGACATTATTGACAGTGAATCTCTCCCATCTCTAGGACCCTCGTAGCGAGAAACACCTTATCCCGACATTCCTGGGTTGTTCTGGGCTATTCCTATATGTTGATATGTATGAAAGTTACAGTCACCTAGTGTGATAGTTGCAATTGTATATTTCGAGAAATTGTAGGAACCCTGAGTGTCTTCCATCACTAGGATCTCAGTGGTGATAGATCCCCACGTCTAGCCCTCTTGGGCTGTATCCCCCTATACTAATTGCAGTCACATAAAATTGTGTGCCTTTACCCGTATGATACCTTCATGTAGCTATAACTGAATGAGTATCCTACTATTGGTTATGTATTATAGGATACCCCTAGGAACGAAACTAGAGAAATTGTGGATCAACAGAAACATAGTCTCACCCCAATGGGTGCTAACCTTCCTGGAATTCCCCTCATACGACAATACCTACACACAGACGCTCAGCTTCCTGGATCTGTGCCTAAAGATACATTATATAACCTATTAACACTAATATCTTACTCAGGTAACTCAACGGAGATGTATTTCTTCGGCACACAACTTTCAATGACGCTAGTAGGCTTCATCCCGGGTTGTCTCTTCGTGGGTCAAGTCATGATACCAATATTTTATCAACTCAAACTCGTCTCTGTCAATGAGGTCAGTTGCATAATCAATTATTTTTTTTTTCAGTTTGTCTTATGCTGCATTTTTAGTACAAGAACTGTGAACCTTTCCTAAGTACCCTATATACCCATCTTCTGAATATAGCTGCTGGAATATCTTACGGTATATACCCATCTTCTGAATATAGCTGCTGGAATATCTTACAGTATATACCCATCTTCTGAATATAGCTGCTGGAATATCTTACAGTATATATCCATCTTCTGAATATAGCTACTGGAATATCTTACAGTATATACCCATCTTCTGAATATAGCTGCTGGAATATCTTACGGTATATACCCATCTTCTGAATATAGCTGCTGGAATATCTTACAGTATATACCCATCTTCTGAATATAGCTGCTGGAATATCTTACAGTATATACCCATCTTCTGAATATAGCTGCTGGAATATCTTACAGTATATACCCATCTTCTGAACATAGCTGCTGGAATATCTTACAGTATATACCCATCTTCTGAATATAGCTGCTGGAATATCTTACAGTATATACCCACCTTCTACATATAGCTGCTGGAATATCGTACAGTATATACCCATCTTCTGAATATAGCTGCTGGAATATCTTACAGTATATACCCATCTTCTGAATATAGCTGCTGGAATATCTTACAGTATATACCCATCTTCTGAATACAGCTGCTGGAATATCTTACGGTATATACCCATCTTCTGAATATAGCTGCTGGAATATCTTACAGTATATACCCATCTTCTGAATATAGCTACTGGAATATCTTACAGTATATACCCATCTTCTGAATATAGCTGCTGGAATATCTTACAGTATATACCCATCTTCTGAATATAGCTGCTGGAATATCTTACAGTATATACCCATCTTCTGAATATAGCTGCTGGAATATCTTACGGTATATACCCATCTTCTGAATATAGCTGCTGGAATATCTTACAGTATATACCCATCTTCTGAATATAGCTGCTGGAATATCTTACAGTATATACCCACCTTCTACATATAGCTGCTGGAATATCGTACAGTATATACCCATCTTCTGAATATAGCTGCTGGAATATCTTACAGTATATACCCACCTTCTACATATAGCTGTTGGAATATCTTACAGTATATACCCATCTTCTGAATATAGCTGCTGGAATATTCAACAGTATATGGAGGTGAGGTTTGGATCTCGGCTGCTGAGGACGTTAGCAACTTTGTGTATGCTGCTCAATAACTTCATCTACATGGGCATATGCCTATATGCTCCTACTTTGGCCTTATCGACAGTCACTGGCCTCGCTACGTGGGTATCCACGCTCACCATGGGCCTCGTATGTACATTCTACATTACAATTGTAAGTATGACAACAATACTCAATAATTATTCTCCAAATGTAACAAAACTTTCATAATACTTTAAAAAATAATTAGAGTAAAAAATACAGAATTCCGAGAGAAATGGTAATTTAATTTACTCAAAAATGTATAAGTAAAGGTTTCTTGCTTGGTATATGTTAATATTCAATACACGATTCTGACTTCAGAGAACTGTCTAATACATTCTATATCACGATGGATGGTAATATAAGTAACCCACAGGGAGGCGTGAAAGCTGTGGTTTACACTGATGTACTACAAACACTGCTAATGTTCAGTGGGATGCTGCTGGTTACCATCATCTGCACCATCAACGCTGGTGGTGTTGCTAACGTCTGGAACATCGCTGATCATGGAGGCCGCATCATATTTTTTGAGTGAGTTTTTCAGTAATAATTTAATGTCATGTTGCTAATGTTATTTGCTCATATCTATACACATTCTTTTGTGGGAAATACAGTGGCCGGTCCTGAAAAGAATTGTTGGGGAAAGTAAATGACTCAATTTAGCTTTTAGTTCTAGATAAAGAATGTTTTTGTTTTATGATTCATAGGTCAAAGGAACTTTTGATAATTTTTTAATTGTAAATTTCTGATTTGCTTTAAAAACTGTTTAATAATTTCTTTTTACTTAATAGAAGGCAAAAGTTCGCAATCTTTGTTGACCTTGAGAATTTCCTAATCAAGTTTTATTTCATTAAAAACAACAGAGAAGCCTCACTTTACAGATGCTGTACACAAATAACCCGCACATAAAAGATAGAAGCTTACAACGACGTTTCGGTCCGACTTGGACCATTTACAAAGTCACACTAACCAGAAGTGGAGCAGGATGGTATATATAGGCAGGAAGAGGTGGTGGAGGTAGTAGTAGCAGTAGTAGTAGTAGAGGTAGTAGTAGAGGTAGTGGTAGTAGTGGGGAATAAGGAGGAGGAGCCAGTCAAATACAAAGAAAAGGGAGCACTGCAAGGGAGCTAGGTGCCCAGAGGGAGAGCAAGTGCACAGTGGTGGGTGAAAGGGGAAGTGGTGAAATAAATAAAGAAGGAACAGAAACACGAGACAGAAGGAAGAAAGACAACCCAGAGGAGAAAAAGGAAAGGAAAGGGGAAGAGGGAGAAGAAGAAAAAGAAAAAGAAAAAATGAGGAGTCAGGTTAAGTCACGGGTGTTCTGAAGTTTGGAGCATTTTACAATGTAGTGGGAGAGGAAGGCATCTAGAGATACGAAGCCAGGGCTAAAGTTCATACAAGGAAAGCTGTGTATTAGAGAGGATTCAACTAGACGGCGACTATTCAAGTTGGAAGAAGGGAAGACAGTTTAGCAGAAGACCAGTCAATAGGATGGCTATGATCTCTGACGTGATAGAAAAGAGCATTGTTAGTGTCGGCAAGACTAACACTATTTTTCTGCTCCCTAAGTCTGTCAGAAAGAGATCGACCAGTTTCTCCGAAGTATTGAAGAGGACAGGAGGAGCAAGAAATAAGTAGACACCAGGAACATCTGTAGAGGGAGGAGAGGTATGAACGAGATTAGTGCGAAGAGTGTTAGTCTGGCGAAGGTAAGCTTGATGTCTAAGGGACGGAGAGAATTGCTGAGATTAGAAAGACCGGAAATGTGGGGAAGGCAGAGGACAGAAGAGTTCCCAGGAGTAGAGAGTTTGGGAGAGAAGAAATTACGTTTAGCACGTGAGAGGCAGAGTCTATGAAATGGGAAGGGTAGCCAAGACGGGAAAACGAATTATGAAGAGTGGAAATTTCTGCTGGAAGGAACTGAGGATCACAGATATGGAGGCATGGAGAAAGAGGGAGATAAGAACACTTTTCTTGACAGGGGAAGCATGATAGGAAAAGTAGTGAATGTACATGCCACTATGCATAGGTTTTTTGTTATTTTCAGATTGCTGTTCTTGCGAAAACCATTAAAATTAATTCACACATGAGAGCTACTTCACTATCAGCTTTTTAACCATACTTAGCTTTACACAAGCTTAAATCTGTCATAATTTTATATTTTAATTTTTATAGCAAATCAACTGCTAGTCACGTGTCAGTGATTGAGAAGCAACCTATTGAAATTATTTTCCAAAAATAGTGTAAAACCTCTAAAATTCAAATGAAATCAAATTTAAGAATCTGATAATATCCTAGTGAAGTGTTGTCTTACATTTGTGCAGTGTTGCCAGCCAGATATATGGTTATAAGTATGACAATAATTTTTAAAGGGGTGGACCAATAAGCCAGCAGAAGGCTGGCTTACCAAAAGCTCCAAAGGCCGGTCATCATATGACTAAGACCCACGTCAGGAAACACTTGTCCTGTTTCCTGGTAAACCTTACCTGATCTATGGAGACAGCCGGCAGCACTATGCTGTGCTTTAACTCACTAATTCTCCAGCAGAGGGAGGTAAACCTTACCTGATCTATGGAGACAGCCGGCAGCACTATGCTGTGCTTTAACTCACTAATTCTCCAGCAGAGGGATGTTTTCTTGTTGACAACAAATGCTATTAAATGAAAATTTAGCATTAGATTACTATTTTCCACACAATATTTATTAGCTGAACTGAATCTTAGTTATGAATAATTTGATTAAAATTCTTCAATAAAGTTTAGATTGAAAGTTTTCAGGTTTTCTGGCAATAGAGTCTCATTGTAGCCAGCAAGGGAACACAAGATGATACAGTAGCATATCTAATGTTACAAATTCATGCGACAAATTTTTAAATATCAAATGTTCAAGGTAAACAAGTTTCAGAACTTTGAATTCCTTTTACACCAGATTTAAATTACCCGAAATATAAAAGTAACTTTAAGAGAATGTTTTTTTTTTTTTTTTTTTTTTTTCAATTAAATAATATTTAACAAAAACAGATATATTAATTTTGATGAGAAGAATTTTTAGATTAATAAATTCAGAGTTTACTTCTTAAGGGAATATAGTAGACAGCCATTTAACACGAGTTTATTTATCATGATTTGGTTATACCATGACTGATAAATTGCAGCACAATTTTACTTCACTGGTTTACTGACTGACTTACAGGTAGACTTTTTCACATAATTTATGCACAGTCGAGTACAACCATCAACTTTAATACCAGAACCTATACCATTCACCTCAGCCCAGTAGGGCCACAGCATAACTCTTCACTCTCCACAGTCATCCACAAACACCAACACCCACAATTTAAGGTAAGAAATACTATTATTTCTGTCCCATTTGTAATCTGCAGCAGTGAAAATAACGTAATACATCACGACAATGAATAACAATTACATAATAAATTTTATTTTTGTAAAATCTGTTTGTCTAAAAAAAAAAGTTGTATGCTTTTTTAGGGGTCACAGGAACGTAACCCTATTTCTCCCATAAGCTCATCGATTCATCTAACATGGTTTTACTTCACACAGCATTTTCAGGAATGTAACTATCATGTTAAATGACGGTCTGCTGTACACAATATTTATTCATGTATACGTTAACTGCGGTCCAACTGAAGACTTCACTAAACACAATTTAGAACTTTTAGACTTTCTTGAAACAACCCTCAGAAATAATGTGCTTGCTTCTACTAGCAGTTTAATTTAAGAACATAAGAAAGAAGGAACACTGCAGCAGGCCTACTGACCCATGCAAAGCAGGTCCATGCCACCCCCCGGCCTTGAACAATGACCACCTAGTCAGGTCACTTCCAATTAAGGAAGGAGCATGACACCAGACCTGGTAGCCCAAGTTAGTCAGGTCCAACTCACACCCACTCATGTATTTATCTAACCTATTTTTAAAACTACACAAGGTCTTAGCTTCTATGACGATACTCGGGAGTTTGTTCCACTCCTCCCCAACTCTATTACCAAACCAGTGCTTTCCTATGTCCTTCCTGAATCTGAACTTTTCCAACTTGAAACCATTGCTGCGAGTCCTGTCCTGGCTGGATATTTTCAGCATGCTATTTACATCCCCTTTATTTATTCCTGTTTTCCATTTATACACCTCAATCATATCCCCCCTAAGTCTATGCCTTTCTAGAGAGTGCAGATTCAGGGCCCTCAATCTGTCTTCATAGGAAAGATTTCAGATACATGGGATCAACTTTGTCATCCTCCTCTGTACGTTTTCCAGTGCATTTACATCCATTCTGTAATACGGTGATCAGAATTGTGCAGCATAATCTAAATGAGGCCTAACAAAGGATATATAGAGTTGAAGAACAACCTGAGGACTCCTATTATTTATACTTCTTGATATGAAGCCAAGGATTATGTTAGCTTTATTTCTATATATACTGCCAACATTGTTATGATGGTCTGAAACATGGGTTTTAAATGTCGCAGTGAGGAGGGGGGTTTGAGGCAGTGGATATATACATCAATGCACACAGCCAGACCTCAGATAAATATAGGTGAATGGAAGAATCTGTATGGTGAGTCACATATGCAGTGAATTTCAGAAGGGATCCGTAATGCTTGACAGTTCACAAACGGGCAAAATTATATACAAACATTATCTCATAGTCTCGGGTATGAGATTAACCACTAAGCTTCAGCTAGGCGTCCATTCTTACTGGAGAATTGCTATGTGGTAATATTACTTTGTACTTTGACACAGAGTGAATAGGTTCGAATTGTCCAGTGAACTGAGAGATCATATTTGTAAATAATTTTGCCGGTAGAAGGTTGGTAGACAGCAACCACCCAGGGAGGAACTACCGTCCTGCCTAGTGAGTATGAAACGAAAACCTGTAATTGTTTTACATGATGGTAGGATTGCTGGTGTCTTTTGTCTGTCTCATAAATATGCAAGATTACAGGTACGTCTTGCTACTTCTACTTACACTTAGGTCACACTACACATACATATACATGTTTATTTATACACACTCATCTGAGTTTTCTTTGATTTTATCTTAATAGTTCTTGGTCTTATTACTTTTCCTTATATATCCATGGGGAAGTGGAATAAGAATCTTTCCTCCGTAAGTCATGCGTGTTTTAAAAGTCAACTAAAATGCCAGGAACAATGGGCTAGTAACCCATTTTCCTGTAAAGATTACTAAAAAGAATAAGAAGAAAATTGTCAAAGTGGGAAGTCTGAATTTTCGTGGATGTTGTGCAAATGATAAGAAAGAGATGATTGTGGATGTTATGAATGAGAAGAAGCTGGATGTCCTGGCTTTAAGTGAAACAAAGCTGAAGGTGGTGGGAGAGTTTCAGTGGAGAGGAATAAATGGGATTAGGTCAGGGGTTTCAGACAGATTTAGAGCTAAAGAAGGAGTAGCAATAATGTTGAAGGATAAGTTATGGCTGGAAAAGAGGGACTATAAATGTATTAATTGAAGGATTATGTGGAGTAAAATAAAGGTTGGACGTGAAAAGTGGGTT